CTGCACGCTAGTTAACTTTGCTTTATTCAGTAATTTTTGTTTTGCGTGCTTTGCCTCACAAACATCGGGTTTCTGCAGTGCTTTTCCTTTGGCTCCCGCTAAGTCAGTTACACGCTTTTGTTACGTTTTAGTCAGAACTTTGTTTTGCTTGTTTTGTCCCAAAAACACCGGGTTTGTGCAGTGCTACTCCCTCGGCTCCCGTCAAGTTTGTTTCATGCTTGTGCTTATTTTGCTTTATTCAGTAATTTTTTGCTTTGCGTGTTTTGGCTCCCCAACATCGGGCTTGTGCAGAGCTTTTCCCTTCGGCTCGCCTCAAGTTTACACCCTTTTGGTTTTCTTTGTTTTATTCAGTTTGCTTTTGTTATGCGTGCTTTGCCCAACAAGCTCTGGTTTGTGCAGTGATTTTTCCCCGGCTCCCCTCGAATTTGCACGCTTTATTTTTTGCTTTGTATTATTCAGTTTTAAGTTTGTGTTCTGCGTTCTTTCCGTCACTAGTTTAATCTTCGTTCGATTCCCGTAAAGATGGTTCATCACTTTTGTTGCATTTGTGCCTTATTTGGTCAATCTGTTCGGGGTGTTTTATTTTATCCTGTTTACAGTGGTGTTATTTCCTCGGCCCCTGTAGATTTTGAATGATAATGTTTTCCTTTGCATTTTTCTGGAATTTGGTACGCGTGTATCGCCACGCGGCCTCCAGTTGTGCGGGCTTACTCCCTTGTCCCAGTGTATTTTCTCGCTTGTGTTCCTTGTTGTTTTTCTATTCTTTTAGTTTATGTGTGCTATTCGTTCCTCGCCTTTTCTGCCGTAATTTCATACGTTTTTCTTCCTGCGCTTCCATGGTAGCCTGAAAGGGTGTCTACTGCCCTAGTCGGATTACCGACGCTCAGGCTGCCATCCCTTGGGTGGGTTTTTCTCGCGTCTCCTCTGCGCCTTAGGTTTCCTTTTTACGTTGGACCTTTATCTCCAGTTTATTTGCTTGTTGCCATTCAGGGGTTGGCAGCCTATTCGTGTTTTACCACGCAGTCCTTTTGGTATTCCCTGAAAGACCTCCTTGCCCAGCTCTCAGCTAGTATCAGCAGTCTAGTTGTTTCACTATACTCTGAGTTTACGAATACTTTTGTTCCACCTCTTCACCTTCAGTGCTGGAGAACTGGGTTTTTCTCTGTTTTCTCTTCTTTGAGTTTTGGGAACCGGTTTTGAGTTTTGGGAGTGTCTGAGTTCTTTAGGATGTATCTAACGTTCAACTTCTTGGCGCGATTCCATTTCTCCGTCTCTTATTCAGCGAGCGTGAAAGGGACTGTGGCGAATAGTATGCTATTCATTGTTATAAAATAACTAAGATAGTACGCGCGCTCTGATTGGCCGAGAGGAGTGTTTGCGTGAGAGTCTGTATACATGGTTGTGGCGTCAAGATGTTTTGCTTTTAGCGAGCTAATCACGCAAGCACAAATTTGAAAAAGTTTTCAAGTTCAAAACTCGACAAGTTTGCTTTATTTACCTATTCCTTCGTCGACTGAAACTTGGAAATCGTTACAAAGAAGGTGTGTCAATTTTTTTTTCGCTTAAGCTGACATTTTAAGCGAGAAAAATCCGTATTTTGGAAAGCATCTTTTTGCAAAACAAGAACTGATTACGCGTGCAAGACTTCGTGTATAAGACTTTGCGACTGGTAAGAATTTCTCTTTAATCAGGACCGTAACAAAGAGTTTGCGTTTTTTCTCGGGAGATTTATTTTATAAAAGCAATAGAGACGCTAGAGGGATTGGGAGAATTCTCAACAGTTATGCAAACCCGAGACGAAGTCGAGGGTTTGCATAACTGTCTCGAATTTTCCCAACCCCTCTCGTGTTTATATCAGGTTATACAAACACGAAAAACGTTTTCTATTGCTTAATCACGTTAGTGATCAGCGCGCTCTGATTTATCTTTCATTGTTAAGTGAGTAATCAGCGCCCTCTGATTTAACCGCGGCAGAATTATCTCAGTCGGTAGAGCGCTGACTGCAGAGCGGGAGGTCGCTGGTTCGATTCCTGAGGCCGGACCAATACTCAGGGTCTTAAAATAACTGAGAAATGAAGGTACTTCCTTTGCCCAACGAGCGGCTAGACCTTCGCGTGGTTCGGATGACCACGTAAAATGGCAGTCCCGTCTCCAGTAGGAGACGTAAATATAGTGTCCCCAATTAGTACTTTCGTGCTAAATACATTGTCACTCAAATAAAGTGCTTTTTTTCTATTGGGTTCAGCACGGTTTGGTTTATCTTTGATTGTTACTTGAGTGATCAGGGCGCCCTGATTTATCCTTCATTCTTACGTGAGGATTAGCACGCATTGATTTATCTTTGATTGTTACGTTATTGATCAGCGCGCTCTGATTTATCGTTGATTCTTACCTTAGTGACTATCGCGCTCTGATTTATCTTTCATTTTTCTGTTAGTGATCAGCGCGTTCTGAATCATCATTCCTTGTTACCTTAGTGATCAGCGCGGTTTTGCTTATCTGTTATTGTTACATGAGTAGTCATCGCGCTCTTATTTATCTTTCATTGTTGCCTAAGTTATCAGCACGCTCTTATTTATCTTTCATTGTTGTCTAAGTTATCAGCACGCTCTTACTTATCTTTCATTGTTGCCTAAGTTATCAGCCCGCTCTTATTTATCTTTCATTGTTGCCTAAGTGATCAGCACGCTCTGATTTATCTTTGATTGTTACGTTAGTGATCAGTGCGCTCTGGATTATCTTTCATTCTTACGTGAATGATCTTCGCGCTCTGATTTATCCTCAGTGTTTTGTCAAGCGGCTCCGCTGGGTACTCCTGTCAACGTAACAAGCAGTTTGACAAAGTTCAGCTGCAGTTAATAAATCATTTATATAAACGGTAAACAGAACGAGCCAAGAATGGACCCCTATGGAGCTCCATAATCAACTGGGAGAGACTGCGAAACCCCATCCCCAAAACGAACGTACTGGTACCTTCATTTTAAATAACTTTTGAACCATTCCAGCACTGATGGAGAAACAACAAGGATACGAAGTTTGAATAGCCCCC